ACATGTTTCCAGAAGCTTCACTGTCGTTTGGAGATAAAGTGACACTTCTTGCTCCTCGCAGCAGGAGGAACAGACCCTTTATTCAGATCTTGACTCCATCAGAGACAAACACACATTTCCATGCACTCTGCGGTTCCCTTTAGTGGCTGTAGTGAAATATGGAAATAAACATGCTATTTCTGAGCATCTTCTGTTGTAATTTGCATTTATTAATGCTTTTCCTTCATGACTTAGATCAGCCAATTAGTGAGAATAAAAGCCTCACTGTGGATGGCAGCAATTCCTTCAGAGAGCAGATTGATTTTCCTAATGACTCTGTGTATCTCGCTGCCTCTCAGACACCGATCTGATAATGGAAACATGGATGGAAGAGGCCGACCTGATTCACAGAGATGAAAGATTTCTCTTCAGCTAATTAGCGGCTAATTATAGCGGAGCACTTCAGCGTTGACTGGCGCAGCAATGACATGCTGCTGATTCATTTTAGGGCCCGGCTTTGGATGGAGGAGGGGTCCACTTACCCTCTATATTCAGGAAGTTGTCCAGGAGCCAGCGGTGGGCGGCCATGCCGTCATGGAGGTCGTTGATGGTGAAGAGGTTGGAGGGGATGGGCCCCGTGAAGCTGCACTCCAAGACCTCGGGGTCCAGCTGGCTGTTTGTAACAGGCTGGGTGATATCCACCCCGGTGGGACAGGGGACCTGCAGCAACATCCCGGGTTAGACTTCAGAAAACTGAACCAAAAAACATTTAAAGATGGATTGATGGAGGAACAGATTAAAGCACAATGTAGATATACAGTAGCAACCATTAAAAATGGCCCCTCCCACTCAAACGCCAGCCAGCTTCCAGCCACTGGAGTGACCCCCTCTGCATATATTTTTACTCCTCTCTTTCACTGAATTACAGGGTCTGACCAGCAGATGGCGCATCTCTTTAGAGCTTAATGTCCACAAATTATGACAGAAAGAATATTTTGGTAAAAAGATTGTTGTTGATTGATGTTTAAAAAAGGACCAGCCAAGGAAAGTCAGGACATTTTGAATGGCTTCTACTGTAGCCGCGTATGCCCGACGTCCCAGAATCTCCTAAAACGCTGGAATATGCCGAACTTCCGTGTATTTTTTCAATTTTGTGTGTATGCATAGAGTATTGATAATGTATGGAGCCCCTAAAGGGACATGGAGGGGAAAAAAAGAACTTTTGCGAGATCCCGCAAAAGTTATGCAGGATCTCGCAAAAGTATTGCGAGATCCTGCACAACAAAAAAGCTGCTCAGAATTAGTTGTATTATCTAGTTTGGATGAAAAAAAAAAGAATTTTCTTTAAACAAATCAAATAATCTTAACAATATTCAGTCTTACTAAGAAAATACATTGAAAAACAAGTGTAATAAGACCAAAATGCTGAATTCAAGTTTATTAAACTTGTATAGATTTTCCTTTTTTGCAGTGCATGTGTTTTGAAAAGCGTGTGAAGAACTTTTTTCAGTTTATTATTAAGTCTCTGTAGTTTACGGAGACTTAATAGTATTGGCTAGTACTGTAATATATTTTTCTCCTTTGCTCTTACGATGGTTGGTTTGGTTGTTTGGTGCTTTCTGAGCATTTCCAGCAGCAGGATTTTTAGTTGCTCTGTAACAGACGTTTGTCTCACCTGGTACTGAAGGCCTGTGCAGAGGATCAGGTAGTCATATCGGACCTTCTTCCCATCAGAAACCAGGACGAATTTGGACTTTCTGTTGATCTTCACCATCTTTCCTTCCATCACACGGATGCAGGAGAGCAGGGGGGTCTGGGCCAGGCCTCTGCTGCTGAAGGCGTGGCTGCAGGAGATGGAGAGGAGGTGGAGA